TCCTCCCCACCCCCTCCCTCCTTTCCCCTCGCGCGCTCGCTCTCGCGCCTTCCCCCTCCCACTTGCCTGCCTGCGTCCCCCGGCACGTGACGCGAAAAGGGACGCGCACGCAAGCGCGCGCGCACTGCCCGCCACGAGCCGCGGCGCTGCGGCTCCGCGCGTCCTCCCCGCCTCCGCCGCGTGACGCACTGTCGGCATCCGCTTCCTGTTCCCGGCGTCGTCCGGCGTCGTCCGGCGTCGTCCGGCGTCTCGGCGCGCGCCGGTGCGGACCTGGGTCACGTGCTGGGGGCAGCGGGAAGGCGGCGTTCTTGTTTCCTGGGCCCCTGTCCGCCATGTTTTCAGGCCGGCTGAGCGTCGGTGTTTCCCCGTGAGGAAATGGCCGGGGAGTTTCGGGGAGCCCAGGCGCCGGGGCCTCGGCGGAGCCCAGGCTGACCCGGAGCGGTTGTGCGCGGGGCGGGAGGCCATGGCGTCCGGCAGTAACTGGTTGTCCGGCGTGAACGTCGTGCTGGTGATGGCCTACGGGAGCCTGGTGAGGAGACCCCGCGTCCCGGCCCTCCGCCCCCGGCCGCTCGCTCACCCACCTGCGCCTGCCCTGGGCTGGGACTCGTACCTGCCCCCGGAGCGCCTGGGGGCCGAGCGCCCTGCCCCTGCCCTCTGGCCCCCGGACGTGCCCCGAAGCAGCCCTGAGCGCTTGCAGCTGGGGACCTCAAAGGAAGGCGTGCCCCACCCCCCCTTTTTAAAAAATTACTGTGTTTTTGCTAAAGATACTGTCCTTTTTTCCTATCTCTTGGACAGGTGTTCGTACTGCTGTTTATTTTTGTGAAGAGGCAAATCATGCGCTTTGCAATGAAATCCCGAAGGGGACCTCATGTCCCCGTGGGACACAACGCCCCCAAGGTAGGTCCTTAAGGCACGAGGTCGGCCTGGTTCTGCAGCTCCGTCAGGGCCTAGAGTGAGATGGCCTTCGCCTTTGAGATGTCTTTGGTTCCCGAGTTCCCTTGTCGCTCTCCCCGCGCTCGGCCGGAGAGAGAACGGTCAGCGTGGCTCTGGCTTCCGCTCCCCCTGCTGCGGCACAGCGTGCACTGGGCGCAGAGGCAACAGTTTTTGCATCTGCGGAGTGAAGGATTTGGACTAAAATTTGCCAACTCTGTGGACAGAGTTCGCAAGCTCAACGTGCCGCCCAGTGTTTTCTGTTTTAAGGTTTGCGTTAGGGCGGCAGGTTAGCCCCAGGTCACGGAGAAGGATCTGCCGCTGCACTACCTTCCACTCCTGGGGGCCTCATCAATCCCCTGGTCCCCCTAGTCCTTCGTGTTAGGAGCTGAAACCTGAGAAGGAAGCAGCTTACCCCAGGACGTGCCCAAGGTGAATAGTCCAGGAGTCTTCACACTTTCTCCGGTAACTATCTTCCTTTCCTTGGCTTGTAGATCTCTAGTGATGACATTTTCTCCGTCTCCCAGACCTCTTTCCTGAGTTCCCTGTTTTTATATGTTCCGCCTTTGTAGCATTTCCACAAACCTCACCTGGAAATCAGAGGTCTAAACGCCACCCCCAGTCCTGCTTCTGTCTTCGGCTTCTGGCTCTTTCTGATCCAAGGATCCAGCCGGGATCCGGCTACACATGTTAGGTTTCCAGTCTTTGCATGTGCTGTTGTTGGGGCATAGAGTGGTCTTTGGTTTTCTCTTGGCTAGCTGATTTGCTCTTTAGATCTTAGCTCAAATGTTGTTTCCTCTGAAGAAGAGAGTTTACTACCTGTTTTAAAGTAGGTGATCTTTTTTTTTTCTCATAGTAACCTGTTTTTCTGGATACAGTTTTATCACAAGTTTGCTTTTGTGTCTGTCTGCTTGTTTAATGCTTACCTTCCATGAGACCATAAGCTTCCGGAATGCAGGCACCATGCCAGTTTTGTTCACAGTAAAGCCAGGGCCTGCGTGTAGTGGGTGCTCAGTAACGTGTTACTGAGTGATAAACAGGTTAGTGGGAGAACCGGAGCTAGTACACAGTTCGCTCGACTCCTGGCTGGGTGTCCTTTCAACAACCAGTGCTGGCAATCTTCCTTTTTTTTTGTTCTCGGCTGATGTATTTCACGGAAAGCCTTAAGGAACGTGTCATGGTGTAAAAACTCAACGGTGCTTCTTCTACGTTCCCTCAGTTCTCCAGATGCCACCTGCCATCCATAAGACGGTTATAGGGTTGGCTACCAGTACACCAGGATCCAATCAAAACTTTGATGATTGGGGCACCTGGGTGGCTCAGTCGGTTAAACGTCCAACTTCTCAGGTCATGATCTCAACAGTTTGTGAGTTCAAGCCCCACGTTGGGCTCTATGCTGGCAGCTCGGAGCCTGGAGCCTGCTTCAGATTCTGTGTCTGTCTGTCTCTCTCTTTCAAAAATAGTATTTTTAAAAATCTTTTTAAAAACTTTGATGATTTTGGAGCATCCTGGACTAGATAAGATTCCTTTCCCTTTAAAAAATTCTCTCATTTAAATTTGTATTCAGCAGTTCTTCCTGCCCATGGGTCCTGTCCCCATGCTTTAATAGAATGAGCTTTTTGCACCAAAAAATAAAAATAATAAAAAATAAGTTTGCATTCATTGCTGGTGGAAGTATAAATTACTAAAACTTCTTTGGCCAATAACCAGGTATTATCTAGTAAGATTCCGCATGTACCTAATCCCATGGTGCAGGAGTTCCACTCTTATCATACAGAAAGTAATTTTTGTTTGTGTTGTACCAGAAGACATGGAAGAATATTCGTGGGGCAGGGCCTGCCTGGATGGCTCAGTTGGATAAGTGTCCCAACTTCAGCTCAGGTCATGATGTCATGGTTCCTGAGTTCGAGCCCTGCATCAGGCTCTCTGCTGTCAGCACAGAGCCTGCTTAAAATTCTCTGCCCCCCTCTCTCTCTGCCTCTCTCTCTCTCTCTCAAAAATAAAACATTAAAAAAAAATTTTTTTTAAGAATATCCATGGCAGCAATTGTGATATTTCCAGAAGAAATTCTTAGGCCAAACGTCTACTCAAGAATATATCTATGATTTATTTGTATTTTGGAATACTAGGAGTGAAAGTAAGCTCAACAATGCGAACATATGGACACACATGAATTTCTAAAGCATTTTTTTATTTGTAAAATTTTTTAACATTTATCTTAGAGAGAGAGAGAGTGTGTGCAAGCGGGAGGGGGGTGGGGGCAGAATCACAAGCAGGCTCCAGGCTCTGAACCGTCAGCACAGAATCCAACGTGGGGCTCAAACCCACGATCGTGAGATCATGACCTGAGCCAAAGTCGGACGCTTAACTGACTAAGCCACCCAGGTGCCGCAATTCTAAAGCATTTTTAAAAAAGAAAAAGACAAACATGAGTGAATCTCAAAAACATGCTGAGTAAAAAAAGCCAGCAAGCCATTCACAAAAGAGTATCTGCCATTTTGTTCCGTTCCATTTATATGAAATTCTGGAACACACAACTGTATCAATAAAAAGTACATAATTATTTCCTGGAGCAGGGAAAGAGGTTGACTGCAGAGGGACATGGAGAACGTTTTGGGGTGATGGAAATGTTCTGTCTTGGTTGCAATGGTGGTTGAGTGGGTGTATTTACTTGTCAAAACTCAGTCCACACAAATTGGTTGCATTTTATTCCATGTAAGTTCTAACTTAGTAAAGTATTTAAAATTTTGAAAAGACAAGTTGCTGAGGAATTCAAAAAATATTTTTTCATTTGTGTGAAGTTTGAAACCAGGCAAAGGTAAACAGCTTGTTCAGGTTGATATGTGATAAAACAGTGAAGAAAAGTAAGATTGTTGACAAATGAACATTGGGGGTGTTGCATTTAATCAGAACTAGGCACACATGGCTTCAGGAGAGCAGACATAGATGTTCATCTTCACAGTTTTCATAATTACTTAAAACGTACATAGCGTGTATTTCACGTATGATCTATTCCACAGTGGCAGTTGCTAAAAAGTTACGAGAAGTGGGGCACCTGGGTGGCTCAGTCGGTTAAACGTCTGACTTCGGCTCAAGTCATGGTTTCACGGTCCATGAGTTCGAGCCCCACATCGGGCTCTGTGCTGACAGTTCAGAGCCTGGAGCCTACTTCGGATTCTGTGTCTCACTCTCTCTCTCTTTGTCTCTCTCCCACTCGCGTGCTGTCTCTCGAATAATAAATGTTAAAAAAAAAATTTTTAAAGTTACAAGAAGAAAAATCTGCTGGGGCTCTGGCAGCCCTTTTAAGTGAGAGAGATGGATGTGGACTTAACAGTGGTTGCTTCGGGGTGAGTGAGGGGTGACTGTAGTATCTTCTCGAAGTTTATATCGTGGATGTGAATTAACCTACTTAAAAAATTAAGTGTACTCCAGGAGAAAGCTTTTAGAAGTCCTGTGATCCACCAGGTAAGGTAGTCCCCAAACTATTGGAAACCACATACAGGTGTATTCTCACAGATTTTTAGATTATGATTTTCACTTGCTGTCCAGTTTTTCTCTTCCTCTAGAAGTTTGTTAGAACACCTAACCAAGATCCTAAATTCAGTTGAGTCAGAAATCATGTTGATGCCATAGAACTTGAGGAAATTCTGGCAGGTTAAAGGTCTAGCTTAGAGGGTTGCGTGCGTGGCTCTGTCAGTTGAGCGTCCGACTCTTTGTTTTGGCTCAGGTCATAATCTCACGATTTGTGGGTTCAAGCCCTGTGTGGGGTTCTGCGCTGCTAGTGCAGAGCCTGCTTGGGATTCTCTGTCCACCCGCCCCTCCCTTGCTCACACACTAGCTGTCCCTTTCTCAAAATAAACTTTACAAAAATTTTTTTAAACGGAGCTAGGTTAGAGATGTGCAGTTGGGGGAAGTTCTTAGAGAGCCCAAGCCTATCCTTATATTTTTCAGCCTGACCTGGCAACGTTACCAGCCAGATGAGCATTTCTTGTGCTGCTTTTGTCATAGCTGCTCGCTTGCTCTGCCCCGTTTCGAGGCTGACGGGAAGCAGAGTACAGGATAAGTGATCGCACGCTCTTTTCTCTGTGTGAACAGGACTTGAGAGAAGAGATTGACATTCGGCTGTCCAGGGTTCAAGACATCAAGTATGAACCTCAGCTCCTTGCAGACGGCGATGCGAGACTGCTCCAGCTGGAAGCCCAGGGAAATCAGAGTATGTGGCGTGCTCTCGGAGGACGCTTGAGTGAGGAATCCCATGTGTTCAGAATTCCTTTGCTCTCTGAGCTGTCAGCATAGCTGCTGGGCACCTGTGGTTCCTCTGTTGCTGGGCACATGTGAGATGCGGGGAGGCAGTTTATTGGCTTACTGGAGTTTGAGGAATCTGAGGTCATGCCTACGACCAGTCTCTTTCTCAACAGGCTGCTACAACTACCTGTACAGGATGAAAGCCCTGGACGCCGTCCGCGCCTCTGGTAGGGGCGACTTGACGGGAGGCTGAGGGCCTGGGCTGGGAGGGGGTGGGGGGGCTGTGTATATTAGACCTTATGCTTTTTCTGCCCCCCGCTGGGAGGAATTTCCTGGAGTTTTGAGAGTACTGGGTTATTTTGTCTAAGGAAATGATGGCGGCAAGTTATTTCTTCTTCAAAGGGTGAATTTGTTTTATTATTTAGACCTTTAGTTTCGTGAACCGGATGGTGGTAATTTGCTTGTTTTCCTACACAAGACCAGTGACACCCGCGCTTTTTCAGTAAGACCGAGATAAATGGTTCTTGAATTTTTTCTACCGTGTGGGCCATTGTCAAGTATGCTTTGTTTGTGCTGAAACATGGTTTACGTCTCAGAGCCGGAGTGAGTAGGGGGTAGATGGAAAGGAGACACTGTTGGTACCATCGGTGGAGCCTACGGTTGTGTTGCCAGCACCCTGTGACCGCTCAGACGCAGCTCTGGGCCTCCGGTCGTATTCATTCCATTAGAATTACCCCCAATTCACTCATTCGGCCCATTCCTAAATTTGGAAGGTTAACTAAAAAGACTAACAAATGGGAGAAGGGTTATCACTGTGCTGTGTGATTGTCTCCTCAGAGATCCCGTTTCATGCTGAAGGCAGGCATCCCCGTTCCTTAATGGGCAAGAATTTCCGCTCCTACCTGCTAGATCTCCGGAACACTAGTACTCCTTTTAAGGGTGTGCGCAAGGCCCTCATCGACACCCTGCTGGATGGCTATGAGACAGCCCGCTATGGGACGGGGGTAAGCCGGATGGCCACTTTTTCCTTCAGGGGACTAAAGGGATGCCCCAGCCTGAGGGAGCCCCACTCTTCCTTCCTCTTTCCTCAGGTCTTTGGGCAGAGTGAGTACCTGCGCTACCAGGAGGCCCTGAATGAGCTGGCCGCCGTGTAAGTGTGGGGGGCGGGTGCTGGCCCACCCCCAGCAAGATGCCCTTCATGAGCAGTAGTAACAAAATCACAATGACGAGCTGTCTTGTTCTGCCTTACTTGCCTCTGAAAGCATGTGCTGCTCTATAAGAACACAGTAGGAGAAGCTTCTACTTTTGTGCCCCCTCCTTTTTTTTTTTTTTTTTTTTTTTTTTTTTTTCAGCTCAGTAAAATGTCAGGAATTGGTGTAAAATGTAGACCGGTAAAGGGAATAAAGTTGGAGCACCTGAAACTCCAGTTAAAGCGTCAGGAGCTTCTCAGGTCTCATAATCATCCGATTAGTTCGGGCTCTGTGCTCACGGCTTGGAGCCTAGAGCCTGCTTCCAATTTTGTGTCTCCCTCTCTCTCTGCCCCTCCACTACTCACACACTGTCTCTTTCAAAAATAAACATTGAAATTTAAAGGGAGGCTTCAGGTTCCTTTTCTTTTTTTTTTATTTTGAGAGAGAGAGAGAGAGACAAAGCATGAGTGGGGAAGGGGAGCAGAAGGGGAACTTTACAGAATCGGGCTTAGTTGAGATACGTAGCTATCAAGCGCCAAGTCATCTTAATTCAAACTGAAGAACCATGAGATTATGACCTGGAATCCCTAAGTTAGACTGGCTGACTAAAACCACCAGGCGCCTCAGGAATAAGTTACTTTTTTTTTTTTTTTAATGGTAACTGGATCCTGGACGCTTTAAAAAAATTTTTTTTTGAGAGAGAGTACAAGCGTGAGAGGGCAGAGAGAGAGGGAGACACAGAATCCAAAACAGGCTCTGAGCTGTCAGCACAGAGCCCAACACAGGGCTGAAACTCTCGAACTGTGAGATCATGACCTGAGCCGAAGTCGGACGCTTCACTGACAGCCCCCCAGTGCCCCGGAATAAAGTTTTTCAATGCAGAGATTCTTCCTCTTTCAGGTTCTAGTGTTTTCCTTTCATGTCTTGGTCTGATAACAATCACACGTGCCCCCTCCCCCCATTTTTATTACCACTCACAGCTTTAGGAACCTTGTTTGAAACTAAGGGCATCACTAGAGCATCAGCTGTTGAGTTTTTGTGTAATAGGAATCACGACTTTTGTCTGACAGTGTTTAAAACATGCGCTGGCGTGGTTTCATGGTGTTGTTTATACAGATGTTCAAAGGGTGGAGAGGGAAAGCCCATGTAGAAATAAAAAGTTAGTTACCAGCCTTGAAAAGAACCGTGTCCATTTTCTGCCGTGTTGAATAAGGCTCTTTCTGAAAAGGTAAGGAGTATGTCTGTCCTGTCTTTTCTCTGTTCATGAAACTAAACTACCTTGTTCCAAAAACAAAGGGTTTGGTAAAAACTGCTCAGAAGAGGAGTGAAAGCAGGGGAAGACGAGGAAGGGTGCTTGTTCTGGAGGTCAGGCAGAAGGCGTGTTCAAAGCATGGTTTCTTTGAACCAGAAATACCTTCTGGTTCTAACTCAGGTGAAGTCTCTAGAGTCCTCAAATTCATAAAGATGGGAAGGTGACAGTGCCAGGGGTGGGGGGTTATTGCTTACTGGGGACAGAGCTTCAGTTTTGCAGCATGAAAAGAGCTCTGGAGATGGGTGGTGGGGATGGGTACACAGCGGTGTGAATATACTTAATACTACTGGACTGTAAACATTTAAAAACGGTCTATTTTACCACAATTTTATTAAAAGTTCAGTCCTTGAGAGAACCTATATGACTCGGTTAAGTGTCCCGACTCTTGATTTCTGCTCAGGTCATGATCCCACAGTTCGTGGGATTGAGTGCAGTCAGCTCAGAGCCTGCTTGGGATTCTCTCTCTCTCTCTCTCTCTCTCTCTCTCTCTCTCTCTCTCTCTCTCTCTCTACACCTCTCTCTACCTCTCTCTACCTCTCCCCTGCTTTCGCCGTCTCTCTCAAAATAAACAGATAAGCTTTATAAAAAATCTTTAAAATAATAAAATCGGCACCTAGGTGGCTCAGTTGAGCATCCAATTCTTGATTTTGGCTCAGATCATGATCCCAGAGGTCATGGGATCAAGCCCTGCGTTGGGCTCTGCGCTGAGCATGGAGCCTGCTTCAGATTCTCTCTCTCTCCCCCTTTGCCCCCTCCCCTGATCACATGTACTTTCTTTCTAAAATAAAATACATTCTTAAAAAAATAATTACAAAAAACTTTAGTCCTCGTCGGCATGTGGCTGGCTCAGTTGGTAGAGCATGCAACTTTTGATCTCAGGGTCATGAGTTCAAGCCCAACATTGGGTATGGAGATAAACTTTAAAAAAATAAAATAAAAATTCAGGGCACCTGTGTGGCTCGGTTGGGCGTCCAACTTCAGCTCAGGTCGTGATCTCACGGTTCCTGAGTTCAAGCTCCACATCGGACTCTGCTGACAGCTTGGAGCCTGGAGCCTGTTTCGGGTTCCGTGTCTCCCTCTCTCTCTGCTCCTCCCCGCTTATGCTCTGTCTCCTTCGAAAATAAAAACGTTAAAAAAATTTTAAAAGAAAGGGATGTAACAGTAAAAAAGTAAATAAAAATTCACTCCTTGATTTCTGATTTCTAGAGC